TTACTTCATGTAAAAGCATCCTCAAGTCCTAAATGACGTCTGCTGAACTCTAACAATTCAAGAATCGCGGCCTTTTTCATACCGCAAGAAATACCATCCTTTTCTCTGGCGTAGTTATTGAAAGGAGCGTAGCGAGAATCTTGCGTGGTCAGACGGAATGCAGCCGTGATGGACCGAGTGCTCCCACGTAAATAATGGCAAATTCAAAATTTCAAACTGAACATGGATGCCCTGCTCGCCATTGATGGAAGATGTGACCATATCTATGGGACCAGCCGGAGAGCACAGGCAGATGGAACTCATGACGCATGTTTTCAATGCCATGCGGATGCCGAGCGTGTTGCCCACCAAGCGACCGCCGAGCACCGTGTGTACTAGTGAATTGAAAAATTGCCTCAACTGCGCAGGGAGGAAATGGCATCCAAGAGCAGACGTCACGGCCACAGAAGCCAATGATCCGGCACCGACTGAGAGGTGCGGGAACGAACACCGCAATAGACAACAACGCCTTGAAAAAGGCATCCAAGCGGCAAGCACGGCTGCTGCTGCTGGCCCGTGGAGCTGCTGCGAGGGGGGGAGGGTTGGATGGCGGACCCATGGGGCAGGGCCGTACAAGAACGTTAGTGGACCAAGTTGAATGGCGCGCCTGTCCAAATCCTGTACGTGCAGGAACGATGCGTGCGACTGTCTTGCCCGATCCAACGGAGACGAAACGCAGCCGCAGCCGCCGATGTATACGCCACGGACGTGCCCCTAGGTCAGTTCAGGATGAACTTCGGAATTGGCAGGACATAGAAGCTGCCGGGTCCGACGGGAATACCAGAAAGGCTGGTTTCTGAGGGTTGCCATCGAAGCTGGCCGGCCCCAGACCGCCTTCTTTAGGGCGGTTCCTCGACAGATGTCTGGATAGGGAAGGTTCCTTCCCGCTGCGTGCATGAAACAAACCGGCTTAGGGCCCTTGCCTAAGGGGCAAGAAACCACCACTGCGACTCGTCATGGCTTATCGCCCGATTTTGCCTGTTGGACACAGCAGGTAAAATCCTGGAGGCGGAATTGTTTGCAGCAGGGACTTGAGACCTTCGACGAAGCGACTAGGCCGGCCTTTCCGATAAATCGTTCCGGTTTCCGAAAAGGCGGCCCGCTCTAACAGTTGGAGGCAATCGGGTGAGTGATAGCGGATTTACTAGAAGGCATGATCAGGAGCACGCTAGGAGTAGGGCTCGCACTAAAGAAAGTACTAGCTCCGTCCGAAACCTGGATATTAAAAAGCCTTCAAACTCAGCGAGGTGGAGCGCAATTCGAAATGCACCTTTCAGTCTCCTGGTAGTCCCAGTGTACATCAGGCAAATCATTCAGCGATTACTTTCGGAAATTCGAGATGGACAGGATGAGCGTCGAGGAGTATATGGACGTGACGGTGGGGTGTTCCACAGGTGTCGGTTCTGGGTCCTCTGTACTGTTGGAACAATGACGAGTCGCGTTACTGAGACTGAAGGTTACCGACATGGCGCGAGAGACCATTGGTTCGGCTGACGAACGTGGCGTGCGTCGGTCGTTGGACAAGCACCGGAAGGCCTTACGCCTCGGTGGCAAGACCAGCT